TATATTTATGTACTTCTTAACATATTCTTCATGTTAAAATAACACAAAAGTTTAGGTAAACCGTTTGTAACTGAAATATTTTACTATGTGCGATCCACATATAAGAAAATTTTTCTTTTATTATTTTATTATTTATAAATATTTTAACATATTTTTCTCCAATGTCCCAATATATACCGTTAAAATAGAAAATATATAATATAAAATATGTACTATATGAACTGTATATTTTCAGTACTTTTCATTTTCATTTTGAAAATAGCCTTTAAATTCATATCCGTCATATTGGTTCTATCATTTTCATCGGTGTAATTCATAAATTTTGAAATCATCTAAAATGTAAACATAGAGAATGTTAATCAGAGAAATGTTAATCAGAGAAACTAATCTATATTTTGTTTAGAAAACAAGAACTGACGAAATACACATAATAATACACGGCCAACAATCCGTAAAAATTTGATTGTCCTCAAATATTTTTTTTTATTTTAATATGAAAAAAAGCAATAGCGATGCATGTAAAATTGTGACTACTGACACTGTAGTAACACTTACTAAAAAAATAATTCTCCTGACTAAATTTTTTTCATTTATACGATTACAATTACAAATACCGGAAATTTTTTTCTCAGTGCAGAAGAGACATCGTAGGACTGAAGCGCACTCGGCGTTTCCTTATGATTTATTTGTTCTCAATTAAACATTGAGATTTGAAGTTATTACATGTATGTTATTATCTCAGCATCTGCAAAAAAACATATATACATATCGGTTTTGTAACGTCTTTCATTGTCCGATCCTCACACGCATATAATTGTGATGCGCACGCAAATTATACACAACTATATGGGACCTACAGTTTTAACGCCGATTCCGAACAGCAATTTGCGTGAAGCTTTTGGCAGAGATATTCTTTCGATAGCTTTTGGCAGAGATACTCTCTCGATAAATTATTAGCCAGTCCATCAGAGAGGAGACACGAGCCTATGAAAATATTTTGGTTCTACCGAGAGGAGAATCCGGGAACTCCAGTACAACAGACCAGTGCACTGTCTATTACGTCATGCTCGCGTTCAAAAAAACCTACATGCACATACATAAACATATATACACACGGTTGTTTAAACTCTAAATCAACAATATAATCTATAATTCTTACAATATAATTTACATATATAAATAGTGCAATATTATCAGTAATAATATGCCATGACCTAAAACTGGGTCGTCAGATCAATAAGATCTTGTAATTATTTTACGATTTTACTTGAGCACACGGTGTGTATGATTTACTTCCTTGTTCAATATATGATATTATAAATATACAATATGCGGTTAAAATCGAATCTTTCTCTGTAGTATAACTAAATTAACAGATCTTTGAAGTAAGCCCTTAATGACTCAAACAGGGAAGGTATTTCAATGTTGTTCGCTCCGAGGTTGGACATCTTCGTACTGGGATACATTAATCTCAAAATTATTCATATTTAACACTTAATATATGTATGCGCGGTGATAAGTGTATATAAACAAAAAACCAGTATTCTCTCCGTAAATTTAGCACTAGATCTGTCTTTCTGTCCTGTGTGTGATTTCTGTTAGAAAATTAAATTTAAGGAGAAACGGTTTTATAAAACAGTGAATATATTATTTATTAAAATTTGAGCATATTAATCATGAAGATAAATCATAAATAAACTTCACAATATGTAAGAAAAAAAGAAATATGAAGACCAAAAACTTGAGGAGGAAAAAAATTTACAAAAGTTTATCAGCAATATATTTCGGAAATCGAGAAAGTCAGCTTCCTGACAGTCGATATCGTGACTGCTGTTTGTCCTCAACCGTGATAATTTTTTATCTTCGGTTAGAATAATCCCCCATACTATGAAACTTTCTGCTGCATCAATTCAAAAGAAAGAAAACATTCGCGAAAGCATCGTACTGGCGGGGTTCACACCGGGTTATCACTTTGGAAGGGTAAAAGTCATCTAATCTCTGAGCAGACGTTACCATTCGATTCTCGCCAATGGTTTTTCGTTATCGGTCCATTCGATAATCGTTGTGACGTTCTTTCTTGCCTTCTCACTCGCTCCGCTTATCTAGAAGCAATACTCGCCCTCTGTTTCTATCATGTTTTTCTTGTTGCCCCGTGCCTCTCCCTCCCACTCGTATGCACTTTGTCACTCTCATTCTCTTTATACACCCGATTCTCGAGAAACGGTATAAGTAGACCAACTTTGACGTTTCATCCCTCAGAGTATACAACGCTTTCATGGTCGGTTAACGTGATTTTGTTCATCTTCTGATGCTTAGTCTTCATATTCTCCTTACGATAGTCGCATTTTTAATCGTTTTATGTCCGGTTTTACATTTTACGAGTGTACGATTTATCTTTTCGCGAGTGTACCTTGGAAAGCAAATTCTTTTACATGGATTTCGTGATAAGCGCGATGAAATCCGAACTTTCGTAAAAGTAATCAGTTTCAAGAGATTCTTTATCCCGTGAAAAGTGACCACAAGGTAAATGAATTGTGACAGGAGAGGATGTATAAAAAAACATATATAAAAAAAAGAGATCTTATATATATATAAATATTCATATATGATTTTTTATCATTAAATTTTTTCAAAAATATATTATTAATAAAATATATATATTCTTTCCTATTCTTAAATCATGTATTTTTTAAAACTTGGTATCATAAAAAAAAACAAAATTACATTGAACAAAAAATTTCGTATATTCAAGGAAATAATGCTTGACTCAAGTAAAAGGCTGCTTTGTATATTTGCAAGAAGATTATTTCCTTATTTTAGAATGTTACATTTTTTACACGAAGAAAATATTGGCCCATATTAAAAATATATATATTTTGAAATCTAATAATTATTATTCAAGAAACAGAAATATTTACTTGAGTTAATTAAATGATTTTTTTATAATAGAGAACACAATATTAAAGACAAATACAGATTTTTTAAATTTAAAATATATATATTCGAAATAAATACATATTTCCTTGAATACAATTCAAAAAATTGCGTTACGAAATAGTTATTATTGTATTTTCACTTAATAAGTATCTAATTCTATGAAAAATATATATTTCTACTTTTAATAAATATTTACTAAGGTGTAATCGGAATTATCAGAGTAATTATTTGAATGTAGCAGTTTTTTTCTATGTAATATTTATATGTATTTATATATAATATTTAATAAATATTAATTTGAATAAGCAAATTCTTTTAGAAATTTAATATATATTTATTTGAATATAGAATATGTATAAACATTCTTTTTTATAACAGTCATTATATATTATTATTTAGTTCCTCATATAACGGTTCAATCTTCTACACAAGTCGATTCATTTCTAAGAATACCAACAAGCAGAAAAACTAAAGAAGAACAAATTGTTTTTTAAATTTTCTAGCTTTTATTTCGAAATAAAACTTGGTCGACCCTACAAGTCATTTTAAGGCTTAATCTCTTATCTTTCTATGAGTAAAATTTCTTCTCCTCTCAAAACCTATATTCTTTGTCAAAAGATTGCTCACTACTCGCGTCTGTAAGATTTATCGCTGGGAGCAGTAAACAGCTCAAGTAGTCAAATCCAGTAACGTCTAGTTTGGCTCATTTCTTCTGGTTCTCTCCGGTTTCATGATGGAAACTTGCATGATGGAAAAACATAGTATTTTTATTTATTATTGCAAAATATAATTTAATTTTATAATTTAAATATTCTTGCAAAAATATTTTAAAAATACTTTTTGCGATTTATGAAAGATACACAGAAAGATTTCCAATTTTCTACCGGCGTTTTTAATGTTTTGATTGTATTTTCCTTCACTCGAAGACAGTCGAATTGTATTTATTTTGAATAAAACTTCAAATTGAAATATTCGATCGCAGTAGGAAAATATACCAGTAGGAAAACTTAGAGACACGATCTCTCTTTTTGATTTTGTTAAATATCTCAAAAAATGAAGAAAGAAAATTAAAACATTTTTGTGCTAATATCATAGATATTTGAATAATGTATTTGACCACATTGATCAAATTAAAGAATAGTAATAATTTTTATAATAATTTACAATGTAGTAAAATGAAATGTATTGAGTGTCCTCTATCCTGGGAGATAGAGATGAAGGAAACTTTATTCGTGATATCGTGTCACATCTAGTTAATGTAATAAAAGATATTAAATAATCATAATCAATCTTTATTAAAAGTTTTTATACAATTAAGCAAATTACAAAATATAATTTTGAAATATAATTTTATATATATAAACAAAATATAATTAAAAAAATAATGTTATATTTGTCTTGATACACCTATCAGTCAAGATTATTATAGAATAATGAAATAAGTAGAGATGACATTGCATCTAGAATTATTCTGATTCATTGGAGGTATATTGAGCGAATGTTACCCAATATAGAGCATGATATAGATTAATCTGTAATACTCTATATTGGGTAACATTCGCTTAATATAGCTCAATATTTACGAAAAAAAGAATGAAGCACCCTAAAAAATAAGACACATCCTCGCTCTATTGTTATCGGCGTTCAAAGTCAAAATGATTTTTAATTTTTCCTATAGTTAAGAATGAACACTGCTGCTAACATAAAAAAAAATTAAATTTTTCCATTGTCGAAATAATGACTAGGGATCAAGTCTCTCAAAAGATTAAGTGTCTCCAGGTTCCCCCACTCGTAAACATGTGTCTATGGTTCTACGAGTGTACGATTTATCTTTTCGCGAGTGTACCTAGGAGAGCAAAATTTTTTTCTCTTGGATTTCGTGATAAGTGCGATGAAATTCGAGCTTTCGCAAGAATAAGTTTAGAGAAAGTCAGTTTAAAGAAGTCAGTTTAAAGAATCAGACCACTTGTTTGAAACATTCGATAACTCCCGCCGTTTCTATCGATTCCGAAAATATAATTTATCTAACGCGTCGTAAAATGAATCTTATTCTTATATTTCAGGAGCGCAGCGTTCTGCCCAAATATTACACGAAGGTGACCCCGGTCACGAGTCCTTCGTCCTCCAGCTCAGGCTCCGCATTAGATTGCTCGTCGAACACTACTCTAGTGACGAACGCCAGTCCGTTCAACAGCCAGACGGCCCTTATTGTCGAAAAGAAACACTTTTCTGGCAATACCAGCAAAGGCTCAAGTCACTACTATGTCGAAAATCTGAGGAATAATACTCAGAAAGCCCTGAACGGGTCGCGGATATATGATCCTTTGGATAAAGGTCAGGACGCCGATTACAAACAGCTCGATCCTTTACTGTCAGTCGAGCAAAACCCGAGCACCGATATCCTCATGGATTCCCAAGTCCCGAAGCCACCGAAGGACGAGCAGAACGTGACTACCCACCTGCCGTCCACGGAATTCCAGAAGAGCGACAAGCCATCCAAAATGCTACGCTATGCCACTCAAGTAAGTTTTTGTATATATTAAAATGTATATACAAAGTGTCTATGCGTACGTCCGCTCGTATGCAAGTAGAACTCATTAAACTGAATACAAAAATTCTTCATCATTTTGCAAACAACCACCAATTATTGAAATGTTAATTAAAGAAAATGAATAAGTGATGCAAGCAATGAGCCTTTTAGGCAAAATCTCAATCAAAATGTCTAAAACTATGGTTATATAATATTTTGATAACATGGCAGATGGTGTGGGATGCTGATCAGTGCAGACGTACATCAACCTTGTGTTAACAAGATGTTTATTATTATGTCAGTAGTCATACTGAACAGTAACTTCAATATTTTCTATCATAGTCTTCGAACGTTGATGCTTTATTGAATAGATTTCTTTAAGGATCTTGAAAGTGGTGTAAAAAAAAAATTCAAGAATAATGATCTTGATAAGGATGTGACCTATAAAAGCCTACGCATAGATTTTCTAATATAATATAGAACAAAATTAATTTATACTAAAAATCTAATAAGTCATATAATTAATATGTTTAATCGCCCAAATATATGAAACCAAACGTTTCGTGCAACTCTACATGGGATCTACACGATGCGTCTATTTAATTAAAAAGCCACAGTAGACGGATACAACTAATCGATTATTCAAAAATATACTTTTCTAAAAGTACTATCTTTGTAGAATATTCCCTAAAAATTTTATTAAAGAATTCGCAAAAATACCGAAGTTATAATATAACGGCTGAACAGCGGTTAGCGTGCAGACAATGTATTCGCCTCTGTTCTTTCTCACAATATGTCGATTCCCTATGCTCTTTAAAGAAGAGAGAAATTCAAATTGATTTGTGTTACGGTAAATGTTACGATATATTTTCGTATGTGTAGAGATAACCTTAATAAAAGTCCTATTAGTTCGAAAAACAAGCTCAGACGTATTAAATAAAAGAGAAATTGCCGCAAACATAACCGTAAGTATACTTAATAAAGAGAATTGTATTATTAAAAATAATGCAAGCTATGAATATTAATGTTGACATGAACGCATATCATTAAACTGCTTCGGAAAACAATCAACGCTTGAATGACGCTGAGCGCGTAATGTTAAGTAAAACGAAGGAGGCAAGAATATTGCACCGACAACAACAAAAAGACAGATTTTTAGGGTAACGACATAAAAAAAAGAACACTTATATAGCTCAGGAATATATGATTCTATGAAAGTATAACAAAACTCTTGTTATACGTATTTTAAATTAAACTCAAAATTATAAACGTGTTTTTCCCGGAACAGCATTTTTAACATTAGTACCAGAAAAATCTCAGAGATTAATAAACTGATTAAACTCCGATTTGGCACAGTAATTCTTAATAACATTATCTAATATTTTTAGGCTTTTTTCAATATCTGTCATAATTTATTTTTTATAAACAAAAGAAGGGGTAAATTTAAAGTATGAAATCACACCTTTAACTTCAAAGATCTATCATTTTTACAAAAATCACAATTTTTTAAATTGGCTGTAACAAGTACTAATTTTATATATCTACTTTGAAAAAATAATAATGTCCTTTTGTGTTCAATAAATAATTGCGAAGATATGCCTGATACCGTTTCTATCATCAACTGCAACATTGCCAAATATTTGTTTACATAGCGGACTTGTTTTTAGGAATTTCTTCATATTATTAATATTGTTCATGTTAGAAATTTTAGTGAAGAGTACATTCTTCCCATCGCACCTGATGGTATTTTTTATAACTAATCTCGTTTTACCTCAAAAAATTCATGAAAACAGGGCATTATTTAAATAGCACTAAATTTTTTATTAGTGCAAACTCTATTTGCGATGGTGGGGGATCCAGCTTAATAAGGATCATTTTTTACATGTCTACACGTATGTGATTCCTTAAATACATCGGAGTAGCGTTTGTGAAAGTTTGGTCACTACATTTTTTTTGAGCAAATTATACTGTAATCAAGCAAGGGAATCGTGAAAAAGAAAAAGAGAAATTGGTGATTTATTTAACCTCACTTAATATCAATCCCTTTATTTTCCTGATTACTGAGAACATCTTCAAATTTGACTTTTTTTTTTGTTCGCAAGTTTACTTTGATACATTGACGATATGCATCTAGCAGCCGATTTGCATTTTCGCTGATAATAACGTTTCCATATATATCTGTTGACTATTGACGTGTATATTATTTTTATTTAATTTGCAACACTAGGAATGAGGCCCGATTTAGAGCTGAAACGATTGATTTTATACATTTGGATGATTAAACATATTAATCCTGACTTATTGGATTTTTATGAGAAACAAATGTCTTTCTACTGTACTAGAAATTTCGTGCATATCTCCTTATAAGCCCCATCCTTTGTAATCTTGATTGAACATCAATAGCACCATTTTAGGTAATTTTATTCGATCGTGATAAGATTACGTGCTGGCGTATTCGTTGGTAAGCTTGACGTTAAAGTATGACTTGTACACAATCCATTTTGTTATTATGACCAAAAAGTCAATCTTTTTTTATATTAATGTTTGTGTCAATTTATGGCTGTATGGCTATAATAACATACAGATAGTCGAAATGTTCTAAAAATAAATTATATACCTGCATGTACGTTAAATATATATATATTTTTTTCCTATTTTTTTAATATATATGCATAAGATCTACAAGTGGCTTTTACTATCCTTTAATATATTATTTGATTTCGATTTAAGAGCTTTATAATAGTTTATTTAACGTTTGAAAATCATCTTCCATTTTTTCTGTCAAATATAACTTCTGGGAGTGAAGTGTTATCGCATACGGTCAGACCACTTCAAGGTGCGAATCTTACAGTAGAATGAATATAGCGTATGGTCCGCCACGACGATCCTTTATTCTTCGTTTAAATCGATTCATAACAATCATATTATAATATCGCAATAATGCACGATATTAAATCTTTATAGAAAATATTGATAAATTCTTATCTCGAATTCTGTTCGGTTCAATTATATGTAAGATATTTTCTATAGAAACATTCATTTAAAATCTAGATAACTATTTTTGCTGCAATAGAAGTAATGTTTAAGTCGATGACATTTAAATAAAATATTCCAACAAATTTTGAATCACTCGTGAGTTAAAGAAAAATATTCTCATGTTAAACGAGCAATTTTGCTCCATCAATGCGCCTGATTTAATCATTGCGCGCCGTCTACACGCGTGTTACGTGATTGAAAAGAATAAAGACGAGAATAATTGCACAGAAAATAAGACAAGTACGAACAAAAAAATAGACACAACCCTATAATGAATATTGCATAACGCCAGAGACTGCGTTCTCCTTGGCCAACAACGTTCTGATCAACGTGGCAGATAAAATCATGAGCGCCGCCAGAAAATTTTTCTATTGCATCACGCGTGCGAACGTGGCCAACGGTGTTATTGCATGTCTAATTGTATCATGTGATGACATTAGGTTGAAATCGACTTCGTTTTACGCGGAAAGAAGTAAGATTGCGCGCCGCAATGTAACGATAACGAAAAAGTATTACATGACTAATATATCCGTTTCTACACCCGAGAAATCGTCCATTGTTATTAAATGCAAATAATCGCGCTAGACATTAAAAGCAAATAATTATTACTTCGCATTCATCGGGTTCTCTTATAAAGACAACTTAATGATTGAGCCGCGAATATTACGTATCGATATTAAATATTCAGATAATCGAGATGAAGAGATAAGGTTTTTGATATCGTACGTATGATAATCCACGAAGTGGATTATCTGAACGAAAAACAATTTCCATATTTGAATAAAAATGATTGTAGCGTTCGATATGTGTCAAGGTACGAATTTATATACTTATGCATTCTGTCAAATAAATACCGGGAATTGTTCATTTCAAAAGCTCGCGTAAAAGGTATGAAAACAAATTTTTTCCTGAAGTAATGTACCTAATTGTCACGTAGAGTTTTGGCGTCATCTGTCAACCAGTTTGTTTATAGCTGTTGGTTTTGTTAGTCGACCTCAAGTGTACTCTGCAACTTTTAAAATGGATAAAATTATCGAGCAAATAGTTCACCTAAAATTTTGTGTTGACAACGAAATTTCTTATGCCAAGTCATTGGAAATGTTCGAATTCATCAAATTGGCTCGGTATTCTTCGCATAAGTACGATACTTTTGCTCGGCACTAAAAGGGTTAATATCGAACGAACCGTATTTCACAGCGCGAGCAACACAGGATTTAAGAATTTTGAGTCAATTAGTACACCATCTCGTTTTGATTGATAAATACATTTATGCAGTATGCCGGAATTAGACAGAAGTAACATTTCGAGGAAAACTCATTTTCTAATTTCCTAACTTCAATTTACTATAATCAAGTAAGAACATTTTATATTTAAAATATTATTTAATATAATAAATACATTTAATACATTGAATACATCTAATGGAATTAAGAAAATTTTCTCCAGTATATGTTACGTATATAGGTAATTTATCAATCTTAAGATAGAATGAAACGTTTGTAAAAGAGAGGTAGTGTTCCAATAATTAATGAAATGCGGGGGAAATTTTCCGAGCTTTCCGTCATTAATATTTTCAATACTATTTGTTAATATTTACCTACAAAGATCTTCTTAGAAAACATTGAGAATATTAATCTTATCATAGAGTCATAAATTAGTTAAAATTTGCACGAAAACAAAGAAAATAAAAAGTAATTTAAATTCGATATTCATTAACGATTAATCGGCAGACATACATACAATAGCGTACTTGTTACTTCAATAGGCAATGATTGAGAGAACAATGAAGTAAACGAAACTTTATTGATACGAATATATGTACGATATATAAACNTATGTACGATATATAAACAACTACATATATATCGACTCAACTGTGTCTAATATACGTCTCATCCGTTATTATATAATTATATATCATTATTATAGTTATTATATTATTATTCTCATCAGATATCTTGAATCGTTAAATTTCTAAATGTTAAATATCTGGATATTCTTCCAATCTTCCGATATTCATCGATACAAATACAAAGTGTTTCAACTTCAAAAATGTTTAAAATAAAATTATATACATTTCTCGTTAAGTATTAAAAAATGCCGTGCTTGGACACAGAATAATATCAAAACTCCGACGATGTCGAATTTTTTGTGCGAGACTCCCCCCC